GTGTGTGTGTGTGTGTGTGTGTGTGTGTGTGTGTGTGTGTGTGCAGGGATTTAACACGAGACAAAGCACACACCTTTCATATTCTTCACTGGCTGCTGTTGAGGAGGTGTTACCCTGTGACTCCTGTGAGGCAGACAGAAGTTCACCCTCCTCTTGATTCGTTTTGGCAGGAGACGAAGCAGCAGCAGCTCTGGATTCTTTAAACGGTGCCATCTGGGCGCCCACAATAAGCTGGCAGGGAGGGGTCTTCTCCTGTGGGGCTTCGTCCTCTGAGTCCGAGCTGGCCAGCTGGTGGGTGTACTGGTGGATCTCCTTCAGTTTGAGGACCATCTGACGCTTCGGTAAAGGCCGAACCCCAAACCTGCACACAGGAAGGAGTTGAAGATCGTTGTCGTAGAAAAACCAAAACAAAAAATAAACACAGACAGCGATCAGAGCCAGGAAGACTTAGCGGACTGACACAGCAGGAGGTAATCTGATCAGTTTCTCACCTAATCGCTTTGATAAGGAGGGGAAAAAACCCAACTTGACCCTTGTGCCACCCTGTTTTAACAGGTTAGAGGTGAGAGTGACTGACCTGCTGAGTTTGTTCTTCAGGTCTGGTGTGTCCATGTCAGAGTAGTGAGGCATGGGAGTGATGGGCACCACGGAGCGTCGCTTTTTATTCTGCAACACTACTGTGAAAACACAAGCAGGACGACAGTTTTAATGTACAGTTTGATTCTTACATGCCCTTTTCTTTTAAATGCTTTTAAATCCTGCATTTTTCACACTTAAATCAGTTAGTGTGTCTATATAAAGTGGAACTGCAATGCTTTGGTCTGAATTCCTCCTTGTTGTAACTCCATAAGCCCCTCTTTCACCCCCTTTCTGAGATTTATTTCTCAGATCAACTCGTTTTGAGGCTGTCTCTTTAAATCCAAAGGACGCGCTTCATGCCCCGCCCCCCTCCAGCTTCCAGTTAAGTCCATTTTAGTTTGATAGAGGTTTTACAGCTGTATAGTGGCACATACCGTATTTTTTGGACTATAAGCCACGACTTTTTTCCTGAACTTTGAACCATGCGGCTTATAGTCCGGTGC